GTTAAAGGGGAACAATGTCACTCTGTCTCTGGTTAAAGAGGAACAAGATCACTATGTGTCTGGTTGAAAGGGAACAATGTCATTGTGTCTCTGGTCAAAGGAGAATAATGTCATTGTATCACTGGTTAAAGGGGAACAATGTCACTGTGTCTCTGGTTAAAGGGGACCAATGTCACTGTGCTCCTGTTAAAAGGGAACAATGTGGCTTTGTCCCTGGTTAAGGCGGAACAATGTCACTGTGTCTCTGGTTAAAGGGGAATAATGTCACTGTGTCTATGGTTAAAGGGGAATAATGTCACTGTTTCTCTGGTTAAAGGGGAACAATGTCACAGTGTCTCTGGTTAAAGGGGAATAATGTCACTGTTTCTCTGGTTAAAGGGGAACAATGTCACTGTGTCTCTGGTTAAAGGGGAATAATGTCACTGTTCCCTTTTAACCAGAGACTCAGTGACATTATTCCCTTTAAGCGGAGACACAGTGACATTGGTCCGCCTTAACCAGAGACACAATTGAACTGTGTATCTGGTTAAAGGGGAACAATATCAACGTGTCTCTGGTTAAAGGGGATCAATGTCACTGTGTGTCTGGTTAAACGGGAACAGTGCACTGTGTCTCTGGTTAAAAGGAACAATGTCACTGTGTCTCTGGTCAATGGGGAATAATGTCACTGTGTGTCTGGCTAAAGTGGAACAATGTCACTGTGTCTCTGGTTAAAGGGAACAATGTCACTGTGTGTCTGGTTAAACGGGATCAATGTCACTGTGTCTCTGTTTAAAGGGGTACAATGTCACTGTGCCCCTGGTTAAAGGGGAACAATGTCACGGTGTCTCTGGTTAAAAGGGAACAATGTCACTGTGTGTCTGGTTAAAGGGGATCAATGTCACTGTGTCTCTGGTTAAAGGGGAACAATGTCACTGTGTCTCTGGTTAAATAGGAACAATGTAACTGTGTCCCTTGTTAAAGTGGAACAATGTCACGGTGTCTCTGGTTAAAAGGGAACAATGTCACTGTGTGTCTGGTTAAAGGGGAACAGTGCACTGTGACCCTGGTTAAAGGGGAACAATGCAACTGTGTCTCAGTTTAAAGGGGAACATTGTCGCTGTGTCTCTGGTCAATGGGGAATAATGTCACTGTGTGTCTGGTTAAAGGGGAACAATGTCACTGTGTCTCTGGTTAAAGGGGAACAATTTCATTGTGTCCCTGGTTAAAAGGGAACAATGTGACTGTGTCCCTGGTTAAAGGGGAACAATGTCACTGTGTCTCTGGTTAAAGGGAACAATGTCACTGTGTCTCTGGTTAAAGGGGAACAATGTGACTGTGTCCCTGGTTAAACGGGAACAATGTCACTCTGTCTCTGGTTAAAGGGAACAATGTCACTGTGTCTCTGGTTAAAGGGGAACAAT